ATACAGACCGGTTCCCGCTCACTGGCTGAGCGAGGCGCAGGAGCAATGCCGAGGGTTGCGATCCCGTTGCCGGTCCCCGGTCCGGTACGGGGGCAACACTGAGGGTTGCGATCCCGTTGCCGGTCCCGGTCCGGTACGGGTGCGACACTGAGGGTTGCGATCCGTTGCCGGAAATGGAAAAAAAAAAAAAAAAAAAAAAAAAAAAAAAAAAAAAAAAAGAATATAGCAGATTTTCTTTAAAGAGGGAAATAGGAACGAGGGGGAATGAAGTCAGTTCTTTGGGACAAACATTTAGTTGTAATCTCTTATTCTTATTTTAATCTTATAGAGAATGTCTGAATGTATCCAGATCTCATTTGCTGTTTGTAGAATTGGCATTTACACGGTAAGCAATGTATATTTTTGTGGTACCAAATCTCATGAAAAAATAAGTGGAGAACCAAGTGTTGGAAAGTATGTGGAATGGTGGGAATTGTTTTCCACTGCTGGTGATAGTATGGATTTATACAACCACTTTGGAAAATAATAAAGGTGGATGTGAACATATTCTATGACTGAGCAATTCCACTCCTAGGTATATACCTTAGAGAAATTGTTGTGTAATTACAAGAAGATCTATGTAGGAAATACTCCTAGCAGAAGTAGTCATATGAACAAAATATTAGAAAATATGAATGTCCATCAGTAATAGACTGGATTAAATAAATTGTGGGATTTCAATTTAATGGATTTCCATATAGCAGCAAAAATATATGAACTAAAATGTGTGAGCTATAGATTATAACAGCATTCCAAAGATGTATCTCACAAACATAATATTCAATGAAAGAAACAAGTCACAGGGAAATACATAGAGTATGACTTCACTTCTACAAAGTTCAAACACAGCAGAACTAAGCAATATATTGTTTTAAAGTTACACATATTGGTAGATAAAAATTTAGATTGTGGTTACCACTAGGACAGCAGTTCTCAAAAGGGTGTGACTCTGCTCTCTGGGGATATATGGCAATGGCTAGAGACGTTTTTGGTTGTCACAACTGGGGGTAGTAGTGGTACACTACTGGCATCTAGTGGGTTGAGACCAGGGGGGTTGTTAAACATCCAACAATGCACTGGTTAAGCACTTAAGAATTATCTGGCCCAAAATGTCAATAGTGTGAGATTGAGAAACTGTTCTAAAGGAGTGGAGGGAAGGAAAGGACTTTGAAAGTATAGTAATATCCCAGTTGTTAACTTGAATGGTGGACATACAGTGTTTGCTTTGTTATTCTTTAAACAGCATATTTGCTTTATATATTGTATATTTCATATCACAACAAAAAATAAATATATTAAGGTGTTAGGGGATTTTTTTTCATGAGTCTGTGTCAGTTTACTGAAATGACTTGAGCCCATTTCTTAATTCAGGAATATGGGATTGTATGTATGTGGATGACCCTTAAAGGACTTTTCTAATCTTAAGATTCAGTGACAAAATGTCTTGACATTTTCCTTTTGAAGGACTAGGGAGGGGATTCTGAGACTGGAGAGGAGATATGGTGATGTTTACTTTCGAATACCAAATTATTTTCTAAGTAAGAACTTAAAAAGGTTTACATGAAGTAATTTTATTTCTCGTCTACCTTTCATAGAACATGTATACGTGTATATAAAACACTTAAGGAAATTGTTTAAAATGAATGATGCGAGAATTCTGAGTAAAAGATATGAGCACAGATTGTAAATTTCTTGAAGGCAGGACCCTGTCTTACGTTTGTCTTTGTATCCTTCACTGTACCTTGCACAGCATCTGGCACATGGCAGATGCTCAATAGCTATATGTTCAATTATATTAAACTAAAGTGAGCAGAGTTTTCTGTTTTGTCTTAGTTTGAATTTAAGAAAAAACAGCTTTTCTTTTTCTATCCCTTTGTGTTTTAGCTGCTTATATCAGTTTGAGTATTTGTCTCCAGTTAGATAAATAGGTTACATGGGAGCTAAACATGATTTTTGTTATTTTATGTGAAGTTACTTTGTGGGTATGATTTGGCATGCAAGAGATGAATTGGGGAATGTTTGTGAGGAATAACGGGGGAGGGAACAACAGAAGGTGGAGAGAGCTTCCAGACTGTGCCGTGGGTCTGATGTCTGTGAAGGGAGAGCAGGAAGGAAGGAGCACTGGGGAGGAAGAACTTTAGTGCAGTTCTTAGAAAGTCTGACTGGGTGAATTGGGATTCCCTGAGCAAAGTCGCCTATTACAGGAGTTCTGTGTTGGGCAGGCAAAGCCCTGAGTCCCATAGTTCTGCATGCTCATGCAGTGGCTGGCAGCAGCCCAGCAGAAACACAGCGTCAGCATGAATGCGATGGTGGATCCAAAGCTGTCGCAGCTGGAGGCTGTCAATCAGCTGTTAGCTGTGCTTCTGTAAAAGGGAGGTTTGAGTGGCACATCTCCATGGCTGTCACAGTGAGCCAATCCAATAGGGTATTTACATCTAGAACCTAAGGATATTGGGAGTGTTGTTATCAGGAATTGTGTGTGTTCATCCACGAGTACGTATCACTTTGCCTAAGCCTGATACTGCAGGTGTTCAGTCTCTGCTTATTTAATGAAAAAGGTTGGGCTGCAGACTTATTTTAAGGCAGATAAAAATTGTCCCTAAAAGGGGAGGGTGATGGTATGAAATGTGCCTCTCACAAAATTCATATGTTGATGCCCTTACCATTAATGTGATGGCATTTGGAGGTGGGACCTTTGGGAGATAATTAGTTTTATATGGGATCACGAGGGTGGAGCACTCATGATGGGATTAGTGCCCTTATAGGAAGAGACACCAGAGGGCTTGCTTCCTTTCTGCCATGTGAGGACCCAGTGTGAAGGTGGCCATCTGTAAGCCAGGAAGGGGACCCTCACTAGAACCTGACCATGCTGGCACCCTGATCTTGGACTTTTAGCTTCCAGAACTGTCTGAAGATAAATTTCTGTTGTTTAAGCTGCGCAATCTACTGTATTTTGTTGTGGCAGACTGAAGACAGGGAGGGAAATGAAAGCTTGTGAATTGTAAACAAAGAACATAAACCAGAAAAACTCTTGTTAGCTCCTGTTAAAAATAAATGCTAAGTTCTAAGTAAAATAGAAAATAGAAGAGGAAATTTAAAAAGATTATGTGTTAGTTTATGGGATAAGGAACAGTATTAGATGATTGACCTGTTTTGTTTTTCTCCCTAGGTGCTTTTAGCACTATTGATAAATAGCAGCTGATTAAGTACTTAAAACTTTAGGAGGAAAACGCCATATATTTTACATATTAGGAATTCACAGTCTGAAATAAGCAAGACCAAAATGGAACATATATGGGATAGACACACTGAAAACTTCAAGGGATAAAAGTAAATGTGCTGTATACAAGTGAATACATACTGAACTTTAAGCATTAAAAAGCTTAATAAATATTATTATTCAGAGACAACAAAGAATGTCCTCTGCATGCTGTCCAGTCTTGCCTCCAAGGTTTGGAGTGGACAAACCTTTCTCCAGACACTGAAAAGCAATGATGCTTATATAGAGGGCCTTAACTCAGAAAGATGAAGATAATAAATCCTACCTCTATTTTTCAGGTAGGAAACTTTAGGTACAGGTAGAACAACTTACACGTTGTCAGTAATGGAGTTATAATGGCTACTAAAACCTAAAACAAATTGAAACAATGAAGCAGAAAGAACAAAACAAAACTGTATTTAGAACCAAGCATATATGCTCCAAAGAGATAGCTGTTCTACTTCCTGTGATAGTGTGCATTCTCTTAAATGTAATACAGGGATGTATTCCAAACAAATGATTTAGTTTTTGAAACAGAAGGAGTCCTGTTACATGGATCTAGACTATTTTGGGTATTAAACAACATTTCTTTAGTTCTGGTCAGGAGAAAGGAGGGGATATAAATTTAGGCCAAGAGTTTATTACTACAATTGTATTTCTATGATTTTATGAAATTCTGGCAATGAAAACTGGCCATGATTAAGAATGTGATTTTGAAATGAACCTTCTGTGGTCAGTTGGTCAGGTATGGATGAACTCTGGGCCGGAGAGGTGCACAGGAGCATTGCTTAGGACTTCCCTTTGGAACATCAGGGTAAGTGCTCTCAAAGGGACCTGCATTTGCCCCCAGACTTCTCTGAGTTGGGAACTGCAACCATGATAGAGCTAGAAGAACAATGGTGGGCAACTAGCTGGTGCCAGCTAGAAGCAGGATGAGGTGGGATGATAATTTGAGCTCCTAGTGACCTCATCAGATTGTGAATTCCTTTGAACAACATTCAAAGTGGGGAGGCCCAAATGAATGAAGCCAGGGTCAGTTAATCTTATACCTCTCCAGGAATGTTACTGTTTCAAGCACATGCAAGCGACAGGACTGATTGATTGCTTTTTTATACTCAACAGTTGCATGAATTAAAATTCAGTTAACTGAATGAGATTTGAACCAAATAATACCAGGAAAATACCATACATGGTTACAGATTTTGGTTAGTAACAAGAGCTTTAAAAACTCTTAAGTTCGGCCGGCCCGGTGGCGCACTGCTACGGTGCGCTGCTTGGGAGCGCGGCGGCGCTCCCGCCGAGGGTTCGGATCCCACATACAGACCAGTTCCCGCTCACTGGCTGAGCGAGGTGCGGGCGCAACACCGAGGGTTGCAATCCCGTTGCCAGTCCCGGTCCGGTCCGGGCGCGACACTGAGGGTTGCGATCCGTTGCTGGACACGAAAAAAGACAAAAAAAAAAAAAAAAACCCAAAAAACTCTTAAATTCTTCTTTTGCCTTTACAGAAATTATTGACTGCTATTTTACTAGCAGAGAAAGCATTCATCCTTCAAAACAATAACAGAGTTAGAAAAAATGGCATCCAATTTCATCTTGAGATGAAGATTCACTCAGTAATGGGTAGAGATCATTCTTTTATCTAGGTATAAGATTTGCTTATACCTACCACACTTCTCATATTCAACTCCTGTGGCTTCTTTTTTTCGGGGGAGGGTGATAGGGAGAGCTACTTTTGTGGTTATAATAACATGGCAAAACAATTGTGTATGATTAGTAATATTGTTATTAATAATGCTGTTTAATAGTAATACTATTAATAACATTGTATATTATTAAAACTGCTTATTTGAGTCTAGCTCTTTAGGTCTGGGCAAATCTTACCCTAAACTTCAGTTGAGTTATTACAATATATAGTGCTACATGTAAAGACACTATTAGTTTACTATGGCTTCTATAATAAATTACCACAAACTTTGTGGCTTAAAACAACAAAAATTGTCTTATAGCTCTGAAGGTCAGAAGAGTGAAGAGGGTTTCATTGAGCTAAAATCAGGTGTTGGCAGAGCTGTGTTCTTTCTGGAGGTTCT